TACTGCTCCTTCTGTTGGTCAGTGAATCCTCGCACTTCTGTGAACAAACCCACACACCGAGGAGGGATCTGATTGGCTGCTGCTGGTCGTGATGTCACCCAGACAAGAGCTGATGGAAGCAGCTTACCTTTGACCAGACTTGTAAACAGCACATCTACAGATGCTCTTTTCTCAACAGTGTCCAGTATTTCGCTTTTAAAGTTCAATGGCAGTCGACTCTCATCAAGTCCATCAAATATAAATGCTAGCTTACATTCGTTATATAACTTTGATTTCTCCAGGTCCTTCAATTCAGGATAAAATTTCAGCAGAAACTCATGGAGATTGACCTCTCTGTCTTTAATCATGTTGATCTCTCTGAATGGAAGCAGGAATACACACTCTATATCCTGATTGGTGTTTTCTTCTGCCCAGTCCAGGATGAACTTGTGCACAGAGACAGTTTTTCCGATGCCAGCGACTCCCTTGGTCAGCACAATCTTCTCCTCATTGTTTTTCCTCAGTTCAGTAAATATATCATTGCATTTGATTGGTTTGTCTTGTGTTTTTTTGTTCATGAAAGCATCATCAATCTTCAGAATCTCATGTTCGTGATTGACATCTTCCATCTCTCCCTCTGTGATGAACAGCTCTGTGTAAACAGTCTTGAGATCTGTGTCATTTTCTTTGTTGCCCTCAAAAATACACTTTGCTTTCTTCTTCATGTTTGTTTTGTGAATTTGCAAGAATTTCTGCAGCATTAAATCCTCTGTTAAAAAGGCTGATGAAAGTGAATAAAAACATGATGAAAAAGCAAAAAACAGATTAAACTTTGTCAACGTAATAATTAAATGACTATTGAATATAATGCAGACCTGAGGCTTTAGTGAATTTCATTATTGAATTTCATTTCATTAATTTAATTTGTAAATTCCAGAAAGCATTAATTTGGAAAATCTTTCCACTATGAATTTGAATTTATATATATATATATATATAGTCACGGCCATAATTATTGACACCCTTTGTAAATATAAACTAAAAAGCCTGTGAAAATAAATCTGCATTCCTTTTGATTTTTTATATAAAAAAAAACTTTGAAAAACTTTTAATTGAAGTAAAACAATTGAAAATATGAGGGGGGGGGGGATCTTGTTATGAAAAATATGTTTTTCTCAAATACACGTTGGCCACAATAGGGTATATGTCGAATATCACCTGACCAAACCCGGAAAACAGGTCTCAGCCGTATTAAATAATAGCGATATCTATGGACTTTTAAGGTAATCAGTTAAACTAGCTAGCTAGTTTAACTGATTAAGTTTTAAGTTTTATTAAATTTTTATATCCAAATGTTAGAGAAACAAATTAAAATTAAAATTTTTAGATATCAGTCCGCATTTGTGATGGACATTGGTTAGGATAATCTTTGGTGTCTACTTTGAAGGCATCTTGAGTAAAACGGCTTAATATTTAACGAAGCATATGCAAAACGCTTGAACCGGAAGCGACGAGACCCAGTTAACAGAATACGGAAGTCTGTTGCTCATAACCCCTATTATTGGCACCCTTTAATTCAATACTTTTTGAAACCTCCATTTGCCAATATGACAGCTCTGAATCTCTCCTATAATACCTGATGATTTTGGAGAACACCTGAAAATTAACACAGTGATCAAAATTAGAGAACAGCAGTGATTGTAGCATGAAGAAAGATAACTACAATTTCTGAAGGTTACCGCAGTCAGAAATTAGTAGGAAGTGCACAGGCTCTTGATTTGAATGACTTCAGCACATCTGCGGCCACAGGAGATCACTAATTTCTCACTGCTCTGCTGTTGGTCCACTCTTCTTCCACTCTCTTCCACAGTTTGGTGACTGTTGTGGGTTTCATAGCCATAACTTTGTCAGCAAAGATTTTCCAGAGACTTCAGTTGGGCTTAGATCAGGACTCTGGGCTGGCTATTTCATTATTTCAATTTTTTCAGCTTCAAGGAACTGCTTTACCTGTTTTGCAGTGTGAAGGGAACATTGTCCTGCATAAACATTTCTGGCTGATTGGGCGATGAACGCAGGGAAGGAACTGCATGTTGAAAACATTTGCATTCACTCTGCCATGTAGCTGTATAAGAGGCTCAACTCCTGCTGCCCAAAACATTCCCCAAACCATGACTCTTCCTCCTCCACCTTTCACTGACTCTCATCACTAAAGTGAACTTGGACCAGTTCTCCTCTCTCCACACAACATGCTCCTCAGCAAAGGTGAGCCTAGCTTTTTGATTCTTTCTGCTGATGAGAGGCTTGGTCACTGCAGAGTGGGCGTTCAGTCCAAATTCCCTTAAACGTTCCGAGACAGATCCTTACCCTGGTTCAGTGATTCTGTCTTTCATGGATGACCAGCCTTTTTGGGGGACTTGAATGAATTAGTGTCATTGTAAAGCTGCAATATTCTAGAAATCACAGATTTATAACGACCAGCTTCTCTTGCAATGACTGAAAGGGTTATCCTCTTTGCATTCATCTGGACAACATGCTGTCGGAGAGTTTTAGTCATTTTAGAATGGCATTTTAGAAAGAAATGCTGCCAGTTAAATAGGATTTGTCATATAATTAAAGAAATTAGCACCATGCGCCAGATTAACACCAATAATTTGTTGGTATCTGTAAGTGTTCTCTAATTTTGATCAGTGTTCTATTTCAAATATTTCATTTAGGTTTTTATACTGTGCTTCAGAATACATTTAACTCATGAAATATGCTTAAGAAACTGTGCTTTCACTCCTGTTAGGATAACTTCAAGCAGGACTAAACAGTGACTTTCAAATGTAGGAAATTGTAGGTTGTTCTCTAATTTTGATCTCCACTGTATACCCCTCTATATGAGGTGTAATGGCAGTCATTTCCATCTTCAGGGGTTAAATGGACCGTAGGAATGTGGAAAAGTCAGTGGTGCTCTCTGAATTGGTCTGCTGGTGCAGTACAGGACCCCTCACACTTGATCCTGGTCCTGATCTCATTAATATATCCCAAACCCTGACCTGTCCAACATTATTACCAAACCTCAGCAGTATATAGACTTAAAAAAACGTTATGAATCTAATGCTAATGTGATTTATAAAGTAAACTTTGTGCAGGATCTAGAATGAAACCAACATATGATTTTACTGTTGCAGCATTAACTTTTGCACCTGTTTCAGTATTCAGATCAGATCCAGTCTGAGCACAGCTGATGGTCTTGACTGGAAAAGAGAAAAAGAGATTTATCACTTTTTTTTATTACAATTTTTTATTACAAATATTGTTTGATATTACAATATTTTTTCTTTATTACCTTCCTTGTGTTTGTTCTCTAACTGTTCAGCAAGATTGTTCTGGTTAATCTTTTTCAGGATATCCAGTGTGATCTTCACAGCTCCTTCTGGTCCAAAACGATCCAGCATCTGATCCACTGTGTCTGTTGCATTAGCCTTCTCCAGTACAGAAGCAGGAATAGGTCCATCTTCTCTTAAGAAGCTCTTAAATCTCTTCAAATGTTCTTCTTCCAGGTCATCCAGTGTGTCATAAAGCAGTTGTTTAACAGATGCCATCTTTCTTCACTGACTGCTGTTAGAAATTAAGAAAATGCTTTACAATAGGTCCACTCTTACTGGGCACTTACAAAACAGAGCCTGAAACTCAAACTTTTTTTTTTCCCCCTCATGCTGGAGTTTCATAAAATCACCACCAACCTCGGGAGATAATTATTAGTTTGAGTATTATTTCCTCCAGACCATATGAAATTTCACAATTTGAATAACTATTAATTTCCTTCTGTTAAATCCATAAAACAGAGATATTATTAATTTGACCAAAAACCTCTAAGCATAAGAAGTAGTAGTTTTAATTCATTTTTTTATTTATAGCACCTTTCCATAGCTCAAGGTCACTTTACATTTCAACTTACGGGGAAAAACATGAAAGACATTAGAATACAATATGCATCTAGAAGGCTGTATTTTTATTTCTACAAGGATGTCCTGCATAAAAAGACAGAAATAATGTGGCTCTGCATTATTGATGATACCTAGAATGTCAAAGTCCACATTATATTTGTTTATTTAGCAGATGCTTTTATCCAAAAAGGATCAACACAAGCTTTTGACACTTTTGACTCTGCTTCCTGCTGCATTTTAATCTTGATTGATTTAAGTGCAGCCTTTGATACAGGAGATTATGATTATGATATCATTTTTAAAAAGACATGTAGTTGGGTTTTAGGGACCTGTGGTGAAGTGGTTTTACTCTTAGCTTAAAGAAAATAAAATTTTCTGTTAATGTAGGAAATAGTTTTTCATCTCGTACACAAATCTCTTATGGTGTATAAAATAAAAATCAATGTAACATGAAAATCTCACTCCGGTCACAGCGTGTCGGAGGATAAATTGCCTGGCATCCTATAGCCTGCCGGCCGTGACGCTTGCTCTTTTCAGGGAATCAGGTCCAGTGGTTTGAACACAGCAAACGTGGGAACCCCCTCCTGCCTCTTTCACTTGATATTTGACTACTCTGCTTACACTAGGTGTGTTGAACAGCATAATCCAGGGCCTAGTTTATGGCGGGCCCCTTTCTTGCGCAACACTGCATCAGATGGTACTTAACGGAATGAGCTTTTTACCGCCGCAGGTACTGCTGCATCTGCAAAATGCATGTGCAGCTTTTGATCTGTAAGTGGCGCTTTAACCACAGACTTTAACAAGTTATCATTCTGTCTATGAATGAATCACTGGCTCTGTGTCTGCTTGATCATTCTCCCAGAATTTTTACGAGTAGCAGGTAACTTATTGCATTATCAGTGGGCTAGATTTGACATATTGGGCATACAAAAAGATTGAATATGTGCATATTTAAAAAAAATATATATATATATATTTGCAAATAGTTTAAATTGATTACTTCCCAACTAGAATTAGACATTACACTAGCATTACACCTACAACATTCTATTTTTTTAACGTACTTTATAAAAATAAATTGGTCCCCCCAATGTTCAAAACATGGTTACAGCCTTGCTGTAATGGACAACTTTAGTATTACAGCCTTCATCTGTCAGTTGAAATCGCCTCCAAGCATCAGAAATGAATGAAACTAAGCATGTTTGCTCAAAATGACGGCTTCTCCATATGTGAAAACAAGGTATTGGGAGATACAAGTGTCTGTATTACTTACTATTGGAGAAAGTGTAACGGTCGGCTTGGATCATGTGTGCCTTCATAACCAATCACATTACAGCCAACATTACATTGAACTTCAATCAGAGTTGTGCGACACTCAATCGCACAACCACAGGAATGAATGAGAAGTGCCGTAAGCTGAATCCCACCTGTCACAAAAAGTCTTCTCTTATAAAACGGCATTTTTTTTGTGTAAACTCTAAAAATAGTTCAATCCAAAAGTATTGTTTGGTATAAAACATGTTGAAGATTAGCCAATAAGCTGTCGATTCATTAAATGATAAGCTGTTTCCTCTAAAAAGCTGTTTATTCAGCGTAGTTAAGCCTCTCCTCCATTGACACCCATAAAAAAAAGGCCTCTGGACTCCTTTCCCACGTACTGCCAAAGCGGAAGCGTTAGCATTAGCCGTTACGCTTTTTTGGCTAAAGGTTGCAGGCTTGTCTTCTAGTGGCTTTGATCTAGCAAGCATATGATAACGTCAGCATTTTCACATTCTTTGATTGGATAATTAGAATGTTTTATTTATATATGCAAGTTTCTTTAAACAAAAAAAATGCAAACATTCGATTTAGGATATGCGGGATTTTCTTATTAAATGCACAATATGTAAGTTTTCGCTGCTAGTGGTTGCATTTTCAAAACAATAACAAAGGTGAAGCTTGATGATGCTATGAAGGAGCGTGCCGTTGGGAGATGTCGTTTTCACCATCCAGTAGGGGTACACAGAAGTCACGGTTCGGTGCGTACCTCGGTTTTGGGGTCACGGTTCAATACAAGGTCGGTACAACAGGAAATTTATTTTTTCATTTATTTTGAACAGACAGTAGTGCTACATATATGCAGCATAAGCAGTTCTTTTTGATTTGAAATAGATTGTATAATTTCAAGATTTAAAGCAAAAACAAAATGACTTTAGATTTGTGAAATTATGCAACATAAGACACCTGCACAAAACAAAAACAGACTGACTAATGAAAATGAAAATGTATTCTCTGACAGCAGGTGGTGCTCATGGAACAGCAGCGATATAGTTTCCTTGGTTACCGCTGTAAGCAAAGCATCTGCCAGTATAAACACTACTTTAATATGCATTATATGAAGGTAAGAGGAAAAGAAAATGCCATCGAGACATTTCTGAAGATGGTCAGTTCCTCTCAGAGGTACATTCATATAAACCCCCAGATATTTGTCTTCCTATATTTCAAGTTTTGCGAACAGTGAGCTTGATCTGCCTGGTGCAGTATTTTCTCCTCTTTACAGACTTCATAGAAATTCCACACAAATTAAATTTTGGGAAATGATTTCAATGCAGTTTGTGTGCAATTCTGGAATAGAGATCGGCCAAAATAAAACTAAAAACCGATTCTGATATATAGCCGGTCGACCAGCAGTGCATCTCTAGAACCCTAAAGTTTCCCACACTGCTGATTTAAAATAAGCTGGCGGTTCTTGAGCCCTTGAGTGCCATCTGAGCTTGCCGTTCTTGTTTTGGGTTGGTGCGTAGATCGTCTCTTCTTCTGCTCTTTCCTGTTGTGACAGTTAGCATTGCATTACCGTGCGCACCCTTTTGGATTGATCGTTTATGACTGACTGTATTCGTCGTCTGACTGCATGAACCGAACAGTGACGGTTCGGAACAAATACATGTACCGTTACACTCCTACCATCCAGAGATGTCCAAATCATGTTCACAGATGTAATGAATTAATTTTATTATTACCTGTAACTTCCAAAGTTATAAAAACAGCTAATAGATTATACAGAGAAAGCGAGCAAAGAACATTTACATTGTCAAGGAACAATATGACTACCTTCAGTCTAGCGTGAGTTCAAGCACTCTCAAAAAACTCCCCTTATAATCAGTAAAGCTGTCTTTACACTGTTTGATGAATGAATCTCCTGCTTACATCATACGTACATCTGCACTTCGTTGTTTATGATGAGAGGATTCAAGAGAGCAGAATTCAGTCAGCGAGTGCGCACTGAACAACAAAACTCTGGCGTTTTCAGCGATGAGTCATCTGATTGGCCACTGCATTCATAAACTCAACAGACTCGTGTGTAATTGGTTATAATGCACGACACTGTAAAAACACGTAAAAAGAATCATGAGCAGATCTAAATTCAATGCTGCAGTCAACACTTCTCATTTAATTTTCATTTTATTCTCAACATTTCATTATTATTATTATTTATTTTGGAAACCATATACCCGTAATGAGGTTTTATATTATGGTTTTACTAATAGGCCAACTACAGTTAAACTCTATGCAAGAACTATGGTAAATTTCATTAGGGAAATTACAAAGCATAACTTTAGCATAATAAACAGCTTTAAAGCCTGGATCCCATGGATTAAGGATGAAGCTTTCCTCTCTTTAAATATGTTTTATAAAAGATCAATAAGAAAGATAAAGAACTGTGTCTTACATACATTGTTTAGTTCACCACATGTCATATTTTTTTTCACTCTAATGTCATTCCTGTAAGATATTTTTTCTGTGGAACATGAAAGAAGATAATTTGAGAAAAGTATCTATCTATCAGTTTGTTTGTGTGCTTGTATAGAACTCATAAGTAGTTACCAACTTTCTACAAAATATCTTCATACCAGAAATTCATACCAGTTTGGAATGACATGTACGGAGCCCTGCACATAGAAAAAAAAAAAAAAAAAAAAATTGTGCGCACGATTTACTAATTCGTTCCCTCGATGTACTAAAACGTGCACACGATTACTATTCCGTTCCCTCGATTTGCTAAATCGTGCGCACAATTTACTAATTCGTTCTCTTGATTTAGCCTACTATTTTTTCCTGCATGCCATGTGCAGGGCTTCATAGACATGAGAGTGAGTAAATGATGACAGTTTGGTTTTGGTTCAGTGTCGGGCTTTAGACATTCATGCTCCATGTGTTTTTCTTCCGCCGTGAGGGAACGGGATGAGCATTAGCTCACTCTCTGTGAGCTCTGGTATCTGCGTGAGTGTGCATTTTCAAGTTTCACTCAGGCTGTATGTTCTTCTGTTAGTGTGTGTTGTTCTGTTCTGTGTAGCACATGCTTGTGTTTATCATCAGCCGCGTACTTTCATGTTTGTGTTCTGTGTAGCATGAGCTCGGCCGTGTGCTTTCATGTCATGTTTTGTGTGGATGTGCAGTCGGTGAGAGCTCTCAATGGCTGTGTGTTCGTGAGTCATGTTTTGTGCAGACACATAGCTTGGTTTTGTTTGTTTCTATGTGTCATGTGCTCCACTGTCCATTGTCTAAACCCCGCCCTTCTTGTTACCTGAACTGATTGATTTGCTGCACCTGCTCTCCCTCATTACCCCCTCATTTCCTTCTCTATTTATTCCCCTTGTGTTCTCAGTGCTGTGCTAGTTTATTGTGGATGGT